AAGAAACGAATACCATATACAGGGGAAATCATACTTAGGGGCACTGATCTCTCCCTCCTCTAGTTCATGGCCCTCAGCTTCCAGTGAACAGCAAAGGACCCTCAGAGGAGCCTTAGCTCTCAAATCAAAGGCAGGTGGCTTTCTAGGAACTACAGCATGACGTCCCACCCAAGTGCTATGGTATCCCCTGGTAATATATCTACACCTAAAATTAACTGAGTCCTACTTTTATATGTGCTTCAGAATTTCCATAATAAAAAACTAAAAGTAAATACTAAGTAAATAAATAGATGTTAAATAGTCAGGTAATAGCTTAAGTATATTACCTAATATAATAATAATATAATAATAACCTCTAGAGGAAAAGGGAGAGACAGGAAGAAAAGCTAATATGCGTGGTTGCTTCTAGGAAGCAGGACCAGAAGCAGAAGCTGACTTTTGCTTTTCATTCTAGACTCTTAAGTGAAAATTCTTATTTTTTGCTATATTAAAGTTTTATTTGAATAATAAAAAATTGTTTGAAATATTAAAGACAACATCATCAGGTCAGGTTAATTTAAAAAATCATTTTTTTTTAGAAACTATGTTCTGTGGAGTTAGTATTTCATAATTAATCAAATCGATTAGGGAACAATACTTTTCCCTTAGTGTCTCAGTAAACTAACATCTCAAACAATACTTCTGGTGCTTTATCCTTCTAATAGAGGAGAAAAAAACAGGAGATTGGAAGTTTCTAAGTGTCTCACACAGCCACAAGAGCTAGAAACATAAACAGATTGCTTTGAAGAAATGCTAAAAACCTCCCACTATGCATGTGCTTCTTGTGGTCATTTCAAAGCCCTCGATACTGCAAGTGAAACGTTTTTATGGCCATTTCTGCTACTTTGGGCATTGCCATTGAGCATGTCATCTCTGTTGTGTTTTGGCTTATGGTACAGATATTGATTTATGATCAGGCACAAGTTAAACTGTGACATTCCCTAATTAGATGAAAAGAAAGAAAAGTTAGTGCATACTGGAATGATGTGGTTTAGTCTGGAGGGACCATGAGAAACATGATCCAAATTTATCTTGTAGGCGCAGTTGGTAGCACTTTGGATACTGCACTCACCATTTATAAGCCCTGCTTTCCAAGACCACCACGGGGTCCCCTACTGATCTGAAAATCTAGTTACTGCCTTGTAACTATCTTTTGTCCTCTTAATTCACACACACTTTTTGCCTTTGACTTGCAACCCCACTGGGCATTACCAGTGCCTTCCTCTCTGTTCTGCACAACAGTGAATCAACTCTAAGGCAACATTACAAAAGAGGACAGATGATTTAAGTTATTTAATTAGGTCATGAAACGCAAATTTAATACTACATGAGCATTTAAGCAAGATCTTCTATCATTAAACCATTCAAAATCAATAATTAAATA